AAAAGATTTTCATGATGTTTGTTTTGATGATGTAGGAAACAGAACGCAGCTTTTAGCTGATTTTTATAAGGTGGGTTTTAAGCCGAATGACTTATCCAAAATATTATCCATGGCAGGAAATAATGCCACTTCTATTTTAAGAAATTTTCATAAAGTTTATTTTAATAAAGAAAATCATTTCTTAGCTGAGAGAGAGTTTTTTACGCCAAGAAGTCTATCTAAGATATTATGCGGAGCAGGAACTAAGATTTGCACTATCTTTGAAAATTTGCATGACTTTTGTTTTGATAAGACAGGAAATAGAACAGACTATCTGGACAATCTTATCGAAAGCAATCCGTCAAATGAGATAATAAACATACTATATAAGAAAGTTAGAAAATCTCCTTCTACTTTCTTAGACGATATATCACTTCAACAACAGAGTACAAAGTAAAGAAAGTGAAGTGGATGCTCATTCAATTTTTTCAAGATTATCTTTTTCAATAGAAAAGGGAAAGGAGATCTTCAATAAGAGGTGCAAAAGAAAATCAGGCAAATTCTTCCTGAAGTTGTTTAATTTCATCAATGGAAAAGCAAGCGATTGGTCTTGAATGAATTTTTAGCCACTTTGACTTTTTCTGCTTCTCTGCTTCTTTTATGACTGATGTGGAAGCTTTCATGTTTAGCAGCATAGAGTTTTTGTTCCAAGATAGCAGCTTCTTTCTGTAAATTCATTACCCTTCCTTCATAAGCTAATAGGGCCTTTTCATTCCAATGGAACTTATCAAATTTATCATATCCTATAGCTTTATTATCATCTGTTGTTACTTCTGTGCACTTAAAGTAAAATGTCAATTTCTCAACTGTTGTTTCTTTTTTCCTCCAGTTTACTTTTTGCATATTTAAGTAGTTGAATAAAGACAAATCAAGTAAGAAGTCAATTTATGCCAATGAAGAGTTTTCTATTCATGCACCACCCAAAAACATTAGAAATAAAGTTGAATTAAAAAATAATCTATAACTAATAGAGGTTGAAATAACTAATCGCTTTAATAACTGATAATAAAACTATTTTAGTAAATAAAGTTTGGGATGTTGATAATATTTTTGGTTCAGATGCAACAACAACAAGGCCATTTGAGACCAGACTTGAATGGTTTGTCCAAAATAGTTAATATTCATATTTTTGGCACAAAGAAATCAAACAAAAATGTGTTACTTTACCATATATGACTGAATCTCATTATGTGTTATTCTTTTGCTGCACCAGTAATTAGTATTTTTGTAACTATAGTTTTTATAATTGTATGTAATTATATTTGTAAATAAATAAATGTTAATGAAAGTATTTATAAACAATTTTTATAGACTCTTTGATATTATTTTATTACTAAAAATATTAGTATAAATATTTTAAAATTGTGAAGTTTTACAGGTTTAAAAAAGTTTTTAATAAAAATCACGAATTCTCAAATTATCAAGTACGGGATATTCCACAATTCGAGAAATTCCAGCAATTTTCCTTAAGGCAAGATGCCATACACCACTAGTTAATAATTTATTTCTTTTCTTAGGAATTAGTAATAGCTAGGAAATACCAATATTAGTATTTGATCAAGATTGTGGCAAAGTATTTGTCGGTGTAAGTAAGTAGATTTTATTCACAACCTTTTCTCCGAAAGTAGGAAAGTGAACTACTTCCTAAAAATGCAGAAAAATTAGATTTTGATATTTGTTTTCGAAATTTCTTCAAATTCTTAAATTGTCTAATATTTTTAATAATTATGAAAGTGATTAAATTATAACAAACAAATTTAGGCGCTAAAAGCAGGTCGAATAGTTATCTATTTATGCAAACCTAATAATTATCTTTTCCTGAAATATTTTGCACTTTCCTTCTATTCTCTATCACGATTTAATTCGCAAACTAGTTGGTTTGGTATTTAGCCTTGAGGCAAGTTACATGAACTTCCCGATATGTGTAAATAATCGACTTAATGAAAAAAATGAGTAAATAATATAACTAAAAGTTCCATGAAAATCGGCTTAAATTTTTTTTCAACAGTTAATTACAAGAAAACGGCTCGGTAGATTTTCACCTAAAATTAATCAGTATCATTCCCAACTAATATCTTTCGAACAGTTTTTGATTTTTTAAAATCGGTTCGGTAGGATGAGCTTAAATATCGATGAAAATTTAACACTTTTTTTCAACAGTTAATTACAAGAAAACGGCTCGGTAGATTTTCACCTAAAACTAATCAGTATCATTCCCAACCAATATCTTCCGAACAGTTTTTGATTTTTTAAAATCGGTTCGGTAGGATGAGCGTAAATGTGGACGAAAAGTTTAACACTTTTTTCCAAATTACGAAGAAACGGCTCGGCTGATCGTCGCACAAAACTGAGAAACGATAATCCTCATCGAGATACATCAAATGCTTTTTAAATACCTGAAATCGGTTCAGGCGTTTTTGAGAAAACGTCGATGAAAATTCTAATTTTGACAAATGCCAAAACGACCATACTAATTTTTGCAAACTTTGACGAATTTTTAAAGCTAAAAACGAGTTGTCGTAGGGCCGTAATATTTTAGTATGACCTAGAAGACTGTGGTATCTACCGTCGAAAAAAAAAATCATAAAAATCGTCGAAATTTTTTTTTTTTTAAACTTTATTACAAGAAAACGGCCCGGCCGATCTTTACCAAAAACTAATCAGCACGATTCCCAACTAATATCTATCAAATGGTTTTTGAATTTTCGAAATCGATTCAGAATTGCGGGCTAAAACGTGGACGAAAATTTTTTCACTTTTCTGCAATTTACAAAGAAACGGCTCGGCCGATCGCCGCACAAAACTCAGAAACGATAGTCCTCATCGAGATACATCGAATGGCTTTTAAATTTTTGAAATCGGTCCAGCCGTTTTAGAGAAAACGTCGATTTACGGCAAAAAATCTGTTCACACACACACACACATACACACACACACACACATACTTTTTCCAAATTTGGTCTCATTCGATTCAGAATGGCTTGAAAGGTCGAGAAAACATAAAATTAGCGATTCGGATTTTTTGATGAAAACATAAACTTCTCCTTCGGGAAGTTAACTAGTTGTGCATGGCATCGTGCCTTAAGGCAAATTACTAAAATTTCCCGTAACATTTTTTTAAATGATTAATTTTTTTTTTAAATACTTTGAAAATACTCTTCTTAAAAATCCGACTTTTTTTATATTTCGAAATATTTTGTGGAATTTGAAATTTTCTTCAGAGCAATTGCGCTGCGTTAGCAGCGTAGAGTTGCAATATCAAAGCGCGTAAGCGCCGCGTCGGATAACCCATAGAAATGTAATCAAAATTTGTGCGCATTATTGAAATCTTTATAAAATATCTGATAATTTGATGTGTATATATGTGGCGACCAAAATTTAACATTATACATATTCCAACCTTTTTTTTACTTTTTTATTGGGTCTCCAAAACCGCTAGACCTAGACGCTCCATATTTTCGAAACTGCTGCCTTTAACAAAAATTAATCAGCACGTATCTCTGTTAATACAAATCGAATGTTTTTTAATTTCTCGTAGAGTAAGATATAGTAATCGCAAAAAAATCGAATATGATTAATTTTTGTATATCTTTACGTTTCAAAGGTTTCTGAACATTTTGGCATACCTCAGAAAAAATGGATGTATGTGTGTGTGCAGTATGTATGTATTTTTGGATACAATTTTTCGTCCACGATTTCGGACGCACAAATCAAACGATTTGAATGGTTAAAAAAACATTCGATTCCTATTGATACGAAGATGTGCTGATTAGTTTTTGGTGAAGACAGGTCTAGCCGTTTTGGAGATATGGGGAAAAAAGTGCCTAAAACGGTAATTCATTTTTTGAGAGAACGGATTACTCGATTTGAATGATTCAAAAAAATTGTAATGACGAAATGAATAATTGATGAAATTTTTGGTACGGCAGGTCTAGCGGTTTCGGAGATACAGTGGAAAAAGTAAAAATAAAATGATATTTGGTGGTCAAAAATGAACGTATGCACATCAAATTATCAGATATTTGGTGACGTTTTTAAAAATGAGTACTAGTTTTTTTGTTAGAATTTTGTTGGGTTTTGTACCAAGATTTTTCATTTTTATAGTTTATTTATGCGGTTCAAGCAAATTTCAAACTTTTCAAAAAAAGAGTAAAGGATAAAATTTACATGAAAATAATATCCGTAATATGATGATTTAATATAAAATAGAAGCAAATAATAATAAAAATAAAATTAATAAATAATATAAATAAAATTTCTGAATAATAAAATAATACTAGAATATACCTAGACTCATAATTGAACTGGAGAGTTCACATTAACAAGACAAAACAGCAGATTGATGAACTATTTAAAAAACATTACTGGCTACTGAATAAACGATCCGAACTGTCGACAAACAACAAACTAATTATTTACAAATGTATTTTGAAACCAGTGTGGTCTTATGAGATTCAACTATGGGGTACCGCCAAAAAAAACAATATACAGTTTATTCAGCGAGTGCAGAACAAGATCATACGGCGAGTACTGAACGCACCCAGGTACGTTCCCAACTGGTTGATTCACCAGGACAGCAACATGATGTCAGTGAATGAAGTAATTCAACAAAAAACAAACAACTACAAAAGAAAATTGACGAACACCCAAATTCCTTGGCACAAAAAGTATTCTCAGAAGCGCGCCCAACCAGACTAAAACGAAAAATTCCCAATGATCTCACAAATTTGTAAACGCTAACATTATTATTATTATTATTATTATCTTACTATTTCCATTATTGTTATTTTTTTTTATTTTATTATTTTTCTAGTAAAAACAAGATAATTTCATTATCTTTCTTAAACATGTTTCAACTGTTAACAACTAATGTTTTCATTTGTATTTCTAGTCAAATTAATTAGCATATTTAACAATATGCTCAATAAATACTAACCAACTATTTTTGTCAATACTTTCAGACATATACAGTGAAGCTGCTGATGATTTGATAATTAAAATTGAACTACAAGAATTATCAATTGAATTAAGACATTAAACAGGAAATTGAGGAAGACCCTGAATCGTGTTCAGAGGATGGCAAAACATGTTTGAAGAGGTTTATGGAATTCCATAGTAAAGATAGAAGAGGAAGTCCAACAGGAATAAATTCAGACTCCTCCTTATAAATGTGACAAGTGTAATCGATTATTTAGAAAGTTGAATCATTTAGAACAGCATATGGTAAAACGTAGTCATAAGTGTATTCACTGTACAAAAATTTTGAAGATGCGAGTGCATTAGAAATACACCTGAGAATTCATACAGGTAAAAAACCTTTTGCATGTGAAATATGCGATAAAACTTACACAGTCAAATATTATTTAATAATTATTATAATTTATTTAAAATCGACATGTTTGCACTCTTGCCAGGCAACAAACTTCAAATTTTAATGTATCCGATAATCAAAAACTAAATATCATGCTAATACTGCAAAGAGACCCTATAAATATCAACTATGCAATAAAGCATTCATAAGATCGAATCATTTGGATCAACATATGCTCATTCACACTGGGAAACGTCCTAATAAATGTAAAATATGTGATAAAACAATCAGAGAATCAGGTACCTTAAGATCAATCACATATGTTGATTCACAGTGGAGAACATTCGTACAAATGTAAATTATGTGATGAGGCATTTAGACAATCAGGTGATTTATAAAAACATATGCTCAGTCACACTGGGGAATATGGCCACACTTGTATGCGATAAGACATTTATGCATTCCAACAGCTTGATGGAACTCATTCACACTGGTGAACCACCACACAAATGTAAAACATGTGATAAGACATTTAGATAATTAAGAACCCTGAAAAAGCACATGCTTGTTCATACCAGAGAGTAATTATAAATATACAATAATCGATTAACAGAACTGACACATGAATGCTTGCGGGAATTAATACTAGTAATTGTACATATGAATTACTTTATATATATTTTATTGATAAATATAAATAAACAATGTTATCAATGACTTCTAATGTATATACTTCATTGTTAATGTTTCATAACGACCATTCTAAATCAAAAGATTGTATAAATTTTATTTCATGACAGATGTTAAAATTGTATGTGAATTTTGATTTTGATGCTTCATAATTTTACACTTTATTTTTTCTTCTTTTTATTTACTTTTAATTATTTTGTTAATTTCAATAATTTTATGCATTTTATATTTTATAGTATTAATTAACTTCCCGAAGGAGAAGTTTGTTTTCATCAAAAATTCGATTCGCTAATTTATGTTTTCTCGACGTTTCAAGCCATTCTGAATCGAATGAGACCAAATTTGGAAAAAATATGTGTGTGTGT